ACGGCAACACAATTACCCTATGGGGTAGGAACTGGTTTATCCCCACATTATAAGGAAACCGAGGGTCCAGAAGAAATTTGTGCAATACCATGTGGCAAACGAGACACAGTCTACACCCATCCCACGCTGGCATTCAACCATAACTGAACTACACACTGTGAGGCTAGGAGCCTGTGGGACTGAATCCAGGAAAGAAGCCTTAGGATAGGAATTTAGATGACAGAGCAAACCAAATAAGCTGAACTGACTCGGTTCATGACCCTCTGAAGGTCAGCGGTCAAAGCCGCTCTTGTCCCTTTACCTGCCTCCCTCACTGGACCAGTAATGGAGGCTCCTCTGTGCACAACCTGGAGGAGGCGACTTGGAGGTGGTTGTGAACTGGGTTCACTGGCCTGAGTAGAGGGTGTCAGGCAGACTTGACTCACCAGGTAGTATCAAATCTTGTCTACAGAGTAGCCGGCCTCCCAGGCAGCTGAAGAGGGTCATTTAGGAAATTGAACGGAACAATACCAGCCCATCTGTTTGTACCTCAAAACACTGCACCCTGGTGCAGAAATGCACTGGTTCTTCATTCAATAAACCTAAATGCCCACAAGCACTGTATTAGACTTTGTGAAACTGTAAGATACACTCTTTGCCCTTAATGAAGAAAACTAACAGTTTTGATACAAAAGGAACCAAGCAATAGTGGGGACTGCAGTGAATTGGACAATTCTGCTCAAAGCTGCTTCACGTACTATTTTGCTCCAATTGGTTGCCTCTGAGCAAGAAAAATCTATTGATTTTTTTTTTTTCAAGAAAAGCCCCAAATCAAGTTCAGCTGAACTTTTCCATTTTTAAAACAATTCTGGCCAACCTCTGCTTCTCACTAAGCCTTATCTTTTCCTATAATACTCAGCACCTAAAAATTCTTGGCAGAAAGGAAGCAACCAACATGCTTCTGGCACACAGACCAGGTAAAGCTTATCCAGAGAGAATGGGCCTGACACTGCCATCATCTGTATTAACAGAACAGCTGACACAACTGGGGAGGATTTTTAGCCTTGAAAATGACTAATGAGAGGCATAATTGCTGTTGCAAATAAGAAAATCCTTATAAATCTAGGGCACACTTTGCTTAAACATGAGTCACAAATATTAACTTTTTATCTAAGAATCTTTCTCAATTCAGGGTTTTCCTAAATATTAAAATATAGTAGAAACATGTAATGAAATTGCCTGGCACAACATTTGGCAAAGCGTTCAAGAAACACTGACCATTATTATGGAGGTTTATACGTTTTCTACAAAGCACAAGAAAATACCATTACTGTCATTGCATAGTTACATAAAGTCTGATTTTGGCTTAATAAAAAATACTTCTGTAACAATTCCAACTACGGTATGAGATTATGAACCTGACTGTTCAAATACAATAGCAAAGGCCACTCCTCAGGGGATTGAAGATACGACTACCACTCCAGGAATCTGATTTTTATGGTCTCTGTTCTTAGGACCCTATGACTACATGCACAACTTGGAAAACTATACATATAATGTGCATTAAAAAGAAATATGGCTAATCTCTGGGATATAGAAAGATACACAAAATTGAGTATGTAGGGAAAAAAGTTATAGAACTATAGAATGTGAGTCAGTTTTTTTTTGAAAAACAGATACAGATAGTGCTTAGAACATTTCTAGAAAGGGATTCAAGAAACTTACCTAGACAACCTTGGGAACTGGCTGTTTACTCCCCCCACCATTCCATTTTAATTTTTCCCCCCTTATTAGTAGTTATCATTACCCTTAAAAAATGGCCAAATAATTTAGTTTGGCCAAAACCTTCTGGTTCTTAGCTTTGCAAACACAGCCAAGGATACTAAGCTTTATATATTTCCTCACCTTTTCACTGTCACAGCCCAAGAACTTTAGACTACTATACTCCCCAACCTATTCTCCCATTACCAAATGCACCTAACCTTGGTGGCTGCTTCAGGTCACCCTCTCACTGTCCCTCATTTCCTGAGTCTTAGACTAGATATTTTTCCCCATTTGTGCCCACTGTGAGGGTGTAACAGCTTTTAGAAACCACCCCAATACTGACTCCCAAATTTCTAACTATAGTTTTTACTTCCTTCCCAAACTCCAAACTACATGTTGCAATTGCCTACTCAGTATTTCCACTTGGATGTCAAGTGGACATCTAAATTTAATACATCTGAAGCTGAACTCATCTTCCCCAATAACACCACTCTACCTATAGCCCTTCAAATCTCAGCCAATGGCACTTCCAGCCTTATACTCATTCAAATCCATTCATTCAGTTCAGTCGCTCAGTCGTGTCCAACTCTTTGCGACTCCAAGGACTGCAGCATGCCAGGCTTCCCTGTCCATCACCAACTCCTGGAGCTTACTCAAACTCATGTCTATCACATAAGTGATGCCACCCAACCAACTCATCCTCTGTCACCCCCTTCTCCTTCCACCTTCAATCTTTCCCAGGATTAGGGTCTTTTCCAATGAGTTGGTTCTTTGCATCAGGTGGCCAAAATACTAGAGTTTCAGCTTCAGCATCAGTCCTTCCAATGAATATTCAGGACTGATTTCCTGTAAGATTGACTGGTTGGATCTCCTTGCAGTCCAAGGGATTCTCAAGAGTCTTCTCCAACACCATGGTTCAAAAACATCAATTCTTCAGTGCTCAGCTTTCTTTACAGTTCAACTCTCACATCCATACATGACTACTGGAAAAACCATAGCTCTGACTTCAGAATAAAACAATGACTAGAAAGCAAAGTAAGCACAATGCTAGTTAACCGAAACTGCAGGTTGCCCTGGGGATTGGGATCAAAGACATATAATCATTAAACTGTTTTCTAAAATAGGTTAAAATTAATTTTTAAGTCTAGGATTTAGATTTTGACATTTTAATTTCTTTTGAATACAAGTCATTTTTTGCAAGCTAGGAGGCAGATCAAGCTAAGGCAGTTAGTTCAGTCCTCTGAGATCCAGGCCAATTCTTAAAATCTTCAGCAGAATGTCACTAACACAAGGTGCTAACAACAGGGCTATAAACTCTAAATAATAACCATTCATCTATATTTTTTTCCTTAGGAAACAACCAAAAGTCTAGTCCATAAAGGTATGATATAAGAACATCTTCATCTACACAGGACAGAATGATCCAAATTATATGCTAATTATATGCTGGCCAACCTATCAGTGAGCCAGATCAGAGCTGGTCAAGGATTGGTGTACAGAGAAAAGTGTTTACATTTTGAAAATTTGCTTGGAGGTTTAAAAAATTTCTGGTTGTTGTTAATAAGAAACCAAGTGAAAAATATAGATGCACCACAATGATATTTGATTGTGCCAAGGTCTTCCACTAGAACACAAAGTTAAAGAGTATAGGGAGAAGACACTTAAGATATTTTCAAAATAAATTTCTTAGTAATAAGAAATCTGACATATCGCATTCTTCCATTTGCCATAAGAACATTCTGACCATGAGGACTATTTAAAAGAATGCTCAACTCTAAAAAGGGTGGTGGCAGAACACTTTCCACTACAGAATAACCTCCCACTTTCCCATACAATTAATATTGCTACTCTCCCATGATGCATATTCATACAGAAAAACTTTTGTCAGGAGCTTTTTGCCAGGGCCAGAAAATGAAAAATAAGAGAATGCCTGAATGACAGTTACTTGTGAGCTTACTTAACATCTTTCAGGATGGACCCATAAAATTTGGCCACTGTTTTGTTAAACATCTGCAAACTGCAGAACTCCTTAGCCCATAGTCATAGTTTCTGCTCAATGTCTTAAAGCTGGGCTCAGTTCCATCTGTGACTCTTTTCTTCAGGGCTGGGGTGGGTGCTAGTCATCAAAGTCTGGAATGTCATCGTAGGAGTATCCCCGGTAGCCTTTAGATGCATAGTAGGCAATGCGCAGGTGGTAAAATCCTGGCAGGAACACCAGGATGCCAATGATCAGGACAGGAACAGCCCGGTCTGCCCCCTGGTGGCAGAAGGAAGCAAACATTACTACATGCAAGTTAATAAAATTTAAAGTCATGGGTCCAATTCATAAATCAGCTATCATATACTTTTCAGAGCTTTGGGAAGTATACTAACAAGAGAAAAGGTTTACATCTCTTTGTTTCTTTAACAATTGCAGAAAAATTTCAAAGTATTAAAATTATAAAGAAATTATTCATGTTCATTCACAGATATTTTGGCTAACTTTTACTCCTTTAAAGTTTTTAGTTGTGAATATACCAAACTCTGTGCCTTGTTTTTTGTCCCTTATTATAACACAATCTGGGTTTCCCTCATAGCTCAGTTGGTAAAGAATCTGCCTGCAATGCAGGAGACCCAGGTTTGATTCCTGGATTGGGAAGATCCCCTGGAGAAGGAAATGGCAACCCACTCCAGTATTCTTGCCTGGAGAATCCCATGGATTCTGAAAGGCTACTGTCCATTGGGTCACAATAGTTGGACACAACTGAACGACTAAACCACCACAACACAATCTATAAAGATCCGCTTTTAACAGAGCTATACATGCAATGTATTGATATACTGACAGGCTGCTTCATTCAAAACTGAAATAGGATTATTTACCTCACAAGGTTATAGTGGAAATTAAATGAGGTGATTGATACATGTAAAGCAAGTAGCCTCAGCTGGCACACAATGACAATAAAAGCAAGCTTAAAACCAAAGGAAGAGAACTTGAAGGGGATTATTTGAACATTAAAAATGATAGTCTACAACTTTCACAACTGACATATTTGGTGCTATTTCTATTATCTTGTGTTACATTTTCTATTTTTTCTGTTTATTTTTTTCTGGATTTTGACTGTACATCCCTAAGGAGATATATCCTAAGGATTAAAAGAGTTGCTAAGAAAACTTACAGTGCATTCAGCCTTCTTTTACTTAGCATTAAACTGTTGTTAAACTGCTGCTGCTGCTGCTAAGTTGCGTCCAACTCTGTGTGACCCCATAGATGGCAGCCCACCAGGCTCCTCTGTCCCTTGGATTCTACAGGCAAGGATACTGGAGTGGGTTGCCATTTCCTTCTCCAATTACTTTTAAACCATTGAATGTCAAATAAGGCATGATTAAATTATTTCCATATCATTGGGATAGACATACATACCTACAAGCAAAGAAATTAAGTTCAAACTGTAATCTTAAACTTGCATGGGAAATATCTAATACTACAGCTATTATGACATATTGGATTGGCCAAAAAGTTCATTTAGGTTTTTTGTAAGATGTTTTGGAAAAACCCAAAAGAACTTTTTGGTCAGGTCAATGTCTATACAATATTTCCTTGTTTTCTAAAGGGTACTTATTTCCTAATTCTGTCTCTGAAAAAGCCTGGAAAAAATGAAAACCAATAGTAACGGCATCATTAATGCCCAGTTTGTGAGCTCTAAATCTACTCCCCATAAAGAAACCAGAGCTCCTTAGTGAAATGGCTGTTTAAAAGTTGGGGGACAGGGAATATACAGATGGGCCTGGGATAATGTACTGAGCCAGAAGGAAAGAAAACTATTAAAGGCTTTGAGAACCCATGTGTAATAGTAAACATACAGCATCCCTATGAAATATTCTTTCTAAAACAAAACTAAAGTAGATCTAAATCTAAGCAAGTTCCTAAATTTATCAGGACGCAAGAAAAAGGGGACTAGAAAAACAAAGTAAATTGTATTAAGACAATACCCCTAGATTTAGGTAAAAACTGTTAGAGATGCATACTGAAGATGCACACTTATAATAATTTACCAATAAATATAAATCTGGTATTTGCTTTAGTATACATAGGAAAAAAAAAGTTGGGGGTATAGATGAAACAAAAGGTCACTAACTGTTGATGTTCAGCTGTGGATATGTACTGGGGGTTCATTATGTTCATCTGCTTCTGTTTTGTTTGAAATGTCTGCAATAAGAAGTGAAAAAACCCCAAACCAAACCAAAAGCCAAAATAATCTAATAACTGATTTTCTTAGTTAACACCTTTATCCTTACTTATAGTCTTATATAAATCACACAAGGTGTGATCTCACCTCCATTCTCAACTTTTACATCATTAATAAAGTTAACTGAAGGCGGTCCTGAAGTTTGAAGTTCAAATTTAGACAGCACTAAGTAAGCCTCTGGAAGCCACATAATACTTTTAAAATAGCTAAAGACAAATTGCTACACAGCTAAAGCAAGTTTATATACATCTCAAAAGCCATATGCAGCCATTTTATTTTGACAGTCTACTATTCCTAATTCCAAGATGTCCAGAGTTTTAGCCCTTTGCTGTGTTCCCTATACAAAACAATGTGACCATCATCCCCTGGTCTGGTGTGTGTTGAAGATCAGATGTGAACTATGGTCAATATTAGTTTACATGCTGTGTATAAGCATCTGTATTGGGCTTCCCTGGTGGTTCAGATGGTAGAGAATCTGCCTACAATGAAGGAGACCCCGGTTCAATCTCTGGGTTGGGAAAATCCCCTGGAGAAGAATATCCTCCAGTATTCTTGCCTGGAGAAATCCCCAGACAGAACAGCCTGGAGGGCTACAGTCTATGAGGTCACAAAGAGTTGGACATGACCGAGTGGCTAACACTACCACTACTATACAATCCAAGAGACAGAATCACCAAAAACTACTTTAGGTTTCTAAGGTATCATACTGAAGCTCAATAGAACTTCAAATCCAATTTAAGAAAGATCTGGTCCATGAGCCAAAAGTCTTGGCTTGGTCAGTGGCCCCAGACCTATACAAGCCTCACTGCTTCTGCCCAAACACTAACTACAGCTGTATGTCTGTGGCACTGCAGTTACAATAATAGCATCCCACTCCAGTTACAAACTTTATCACTCAGGAATCCTCAGTGCTAGACTCAGCTGTGCTGTTCCAAACTATGACGGTAGGAAAACTGCCCATATCTCAGAGAGAAAATTTGCCCACCTGCCATACCCACCTCATAGGAACTGTGGGAGAAGTTTGTTGAGGCTCAAAGGAAGAAACATCTTGTTATCTGAGAACAAAATCTTAAAAACAAAACAAAAACAACCTTTTCTTCTTTCTGGTGAAATATGCTGTACTAGATACAAGACAACAGAGTGGCTCACATTTTAAACATCTTATGGAAATCCCACAAGCCCCTCAGCTTACCCCTTTGCTGATATAGCCTGCCAGCAGGAGGGAGCCTATGATAATGAGAAAGGCGCCAATCAAAAACAGCACTGTAGCAAGCGCAATGGCCTTATATGGGATCTTAGGAGGGCTTTTCTTAAACTGGAAGAGAAACAAACAAAAAAAGACAAGGAAGAGCATTATGAATATACCAGGACTCAGATACTTTAAGGCAGGGAGGATATGAAGAATCAATCTTAGTGTGTCTTGAATAAGTCCTACTACCCAGTGCAGCTCTGGGAGAGAAAGAAAAAGGACTGCAGATGAAGCTCCAGTTACTGCTCTAACAATAACTCGAGTAAGGAAATCCCAGCAGAATGTTATTTTTTTCTAGTTCTAGTCTCATTCCACAGACTACTCATTGTACTGTTTAAAAAATAATTTTCTTACAAAAACAAGACACCTCATGTTACACATGTTTTTTAATAAACATGCCTTTGCACATGGAAGGCTGTACTAATCTACAGGGATTAAGAGTGAATACCAAGCTCTGGAAAAGTAAGAAAGAAAAAAATGATTTCTGGCATTCAAAGTTAAGTTGGCATTTGGTCAAAGGTTTTAAAAACAATTTTTTCTGAAGCATTAGCTGCCTGCCCCACAGAGCAAGTAACCTGCCTTATTAACAAGTTCAACTCAAGGTTAACATTCAAAGACAAATTTCTAAGGTTTGGCTCCTGTTTGTGTGTGACCAAACTGACTGGAAGCTTTTCCAACCTGCTTTATTAAAAAAACTCTCTCCTTCAAGTCTGAGTCCCAAAAGTACAAAGAATAATTGATTTCTTTATATTGATACTTATTTAAAAGGATGGGTTCCTGCTACTTCTTTAATCCTAGTTCCACCTAAAATAGCCTAGCCTAAAGGGAAGTGGTCAAAAGGAGATGCTACACCCTTAAGTACTTTATAAACAATGATCAGGAAGGACACACATTTAAAAAATATTCTCCGTTTTACTTACTGTTTGCCACAAAGAATACCTTTAATAAATTGGATCTCATGACATCAGGAAAGAAGGAAGATTCCCACAATCTGCTGGCTTTAGCAGTAAGTTTCTCCCTTAAAAGATGAACTGGTTTTGACTGAAGTGTAAACAAACTGGTAACACAGTCTTTAAAAAATTCTACTTAACAAAAGATAATCTGATTATTTCCAGATAAACTAAATAAAATTTGCAACTATTGGACTCTGGCATCATAACTAAAATTTCTCAGAAATGGACAATATTTATATTGGTTTGAAGTTGCTCTGCCAAGGTCCCTTTGTCTGCAGGCTATGGCTGAAAGAGTCAGCAGTTTCTTTCCTGCCTTTCCCTCTAATCCCTAGGAACAATCAGCAAAACCTGGAAGGTCTCCCTGCTAACTCAGCATCAACAGAGCCAGCTAATGTCATCAGGTCCTTTCTGCATTTACCTGAAGGTCAATGTAGCCATCATCTGTACTAGAGAGTCTTGAGTATTTCACTTTGCTACTAGGAATTCCAGTAGCCAAGTTGGTACGAGACGGCATCATAACACGCTGACACAGCTACAGTATGAAAACAAAGAAAAGTATTATTGTTTGCAGGCTACAACAATGTGTTTGTTATACACACTGGAGTCCTGGGCTGTCATGTTATACTAGCAGTTGGTGATTGAAGCTCCATTGCTCTTAGAGCCTGATATTCCTTTGACATGAAAACATTCTCATTATGCCTCTCCTCTAGTTTCTCCTGGTAAAATAAGAATCAAGACATTTGCCAAGAACCAGACTTCACATTTATTTTTCCATTAATGTTCCTCTGCTTCCTAATTTTTTCAAAGTCACAAGAGAGTAGGTGAAACAGTGGTCACTTAAATCCATCTGACTTTTCAACCATTCTGCTACAGTACTGCCTGTCCCCCTGTCCCGGCTTCCAGAAAAAGCAAGAGGAGCATATACTCATGTGATTCTCTTATTTCACTAGGACAGAGGAGAGAGGGTGGGAAATGAAATACATTCACATCAGCATTTTGCCTATTTCCCTCTGATGGATATCATCCGTTTAACCCAAAGGTTCTGTAAAAGTTCTTGTACATTTGGATAAGCTACTGGCTACCAGTACTATACCAGTGTCCTCTGATTTGCCTGTCTCTCTGCTCCACCCCAGAGGGCTTCCCCGTTGGCTCAGTGGTAGAGTCCAATGGAGGAGACCCAGGTTCAGTCCCTGGGTTGGTAAGATTCCCCTGGAAGAGGGCATGGCAACCCACTCCAGTATTCTTGCCTGGAGACTCGCATGGACAGAGGAGCCTGGCAGGCTACAGTTCATGGGGTCACAAAGAGTCCAACACGACTGAAGTGACTGAGCATGAATGCACTGCTTCACCCCAAGCACTGAAAGTAGCAATTTCACTTTCCAGGTTCCTTCTTCAGCTACATCAAAAACAAAACAAAAAAACTCTGAATGAACACATGGTTTTTGTTCAAACTAGTCAAAGTTGACTCCCATAATGAAATCGTGGCTAATACCTCACCAGCTTAAAAGAGAGTAGATAAGATTAAGTTGAAAAACATTTGTAATTTGTGTACTTTTCCTCCATAAAATCACAATGTTGTGCGAATGAAAAATTAAGCCTATTTTGATCATGAAGTTACTTGATTTCTAAAAGTGAAACATATCTAAGCTTTATATATACTTAATTCTGAATATTAATAAGCTGTTTTACGTGGCCTGTAGTCAACCTAATTAGCATTATAAAGGAACTGGTGCTAAACACTCCCGTTCCTTTTTAGTAATTTTGTAATGATGCAGATATCAAGTACTGAAAAAATAATGAGTATGCTTTCTTATATGCTTTTCAAAAATGGTTAGATCAAATTATGTCAAAAACAATGTTTTTAAGTGTTGTGATCCTGATTACACGATAATCTAAATTTAATTCTATAAAACTTTAAGTCCAAACTACCAATAAGTGGAGAGTTTTGAGAGCATTTAATCACCTGTGATTTGTATCAGTCTTTAAAAAAGTTTACATACTGTCATTAACTATTCATACACTGCATCAAAACATAAAAATGGGCATAGCGTTGAGGAACACCAGACGATTGCGTATTGGTAGCTGAGTAGGAATTCTAAAAGAGGGAAAAGGAAAAACGTAAAGCAATGTTTTCTGAGTACCTGCCCAACAGGCTTTTTTTTTTTTACCAGCCTCACCGGAATCCCAAAATTTCTTCAGCACTTGAACGTTGCAAGAATTTTTAAAGCATCAGCAAAGCACTTAGCGCACAGCTTCGCACTACGGGCCTCTCCACACTACTTCCCCGTCCGCTTACAGACCCAGCCAGCAAGAGAAATAACCGACGTGAATTTAGATGGAAAAAAATCTGGTTTCAGGAAATCGGCCAGCCGTGCCCCGGGAGAGTGAATGCTCCACACCGAGGACTCCGGCCTTGACCGGCGGAGAACGCAGTCTGGGCCGCGCCGCAAGCCTGAGGCGCGCGCTTCCGCTTCCTCCCAGCGAGCACACACACCTTATCCGGGGTCCGAGCGAGGACAGCTCGCTCACGGTTGGCAGCTGGAGCGCCCGAGGCCTCCCCCAACTGCCACCCCGCCTCGACCGGCTGGACGCCGGAAATGGCGTATGTTTTGGAGGCTACGGGCCGGACGTGGCGTCAATGGGGGCGACGCCTTCTCATTATACTTGCTCCGGTTTCAAGCCCGCCTTCTTTCCAGCAGCCCGCAGAAGGCGTCGGGTCTTAGGGCTCCGCAAGCGGAGCGCGCCCCGTAGGGTTTTCTAAGGCTCTGCGGTCCGGGCTGGCTGTCCGCCACTTCCGCCGGGGCCGGTGGGTTCCTAGGCAGCGGCGCCGCCTGGGTCACAGTCAGGCCCAGGGCTACCCGGCCACGTGTTTCTTTCCGGCAGGCCGGGCAGTGTAGAGCTCAGAGTCAGCTCGAGCTGACGAAGCTCCAGAAAGTTAAAGCTGTGAGGTCTCCGTGTGCCCAGGGAAGGCCGCCTTCCCTGGGGTCTGCGCAGCCATCTCTGCCTGCTCTCGAGTAGCACTCTGCATTCTCGTGCTTGTTTCCTGCACATCTTCAGGCCATGCTCCATTAAGAGGCCTGCCCACAAGGGACATTTTGCAATACATAAAGCTTAAAATGTCAAGCTTTATTAAAGTATGATTTACATATAATAAAGTACAATTGGGTTAGTTTTTTTGACAAATGCAGTGGAGACATCACCACAGTGTAGATAAAATATTTTTTTCACTCCAAAAACTTCCACCAGGCCCTCTGCTGTCAGTCTCCTTCCCCAACACACCCGGAAGATAATTTATCTACTGGATACAGTGAGTTCTACCACCGGATAACTAGAATGTAATATGTGACTTTGTAGCACAATTACTGCTGGGCCTTTTTCACTTTCTTGGTTGACTCCCGACACCCATGGAAACTATTTTCATCCTTCAGGGGAATAAGTCCCACTTGCCCCTCCCCAAAGTCTACTTACACTAGAAAAACTATTTTTGCACAAACATACTTCTTGGGACCTATTACAGATCTGCTAACAATTCCAAGACTCCCTAGGCTAAAAAAACACTTCCCTACCACAATGCTATAAGTGGCCTTATAAAGGCCACTGAACTTTACAAACATTAAGCTTCTGTAAAGTGTTAGTTTCTGCTAATACAAAGTATTATATGTGTTCTACTCTTTTCATTTCTTGAGCTCAAGTCAGAATACCAAAGTTAGTTTGGCAAATGAATCACCCCAAAACACTCGCTGTATTCTGAATACTTTGGACTGAAAAAATAGAGCAGTTACATGAAAGAGTTGCTTGAATTGTAACTTGTTTAGGATACTTGCAATCATTGTAGTCCAAATGAAGGCACTGTCCTGTGATGCTTAAATTCAAGTGACTTTTATTTAAATTGAAAATGATACTTAAAACACATTTAAAGTCAAAACTCTTTTGTTTATAAAAACTATAAGGATTATTCCTAGGTAATGCAGAAGTATTACTCGGTTAACAAGACCAGATTTGACTTTGGACTTTTCTTTAAACAAGTTGTAGAGGATGGAGAAAAAAAAGTTATTTACAGAAAACAGTATCTACAATATGTATTCAGAGGTACAAAGACAAAAAAGACTTAAGTGTGTGCTGGCATCTCAGAAGCAGTTCTCAAAGAGCTTAGTTTTATTTCTTTGAATTTTAAGAATGTCTAAGATCCTTCTTCATCCTCGATCTTGGGAGCCAAATAGTACTTTAAATGTCCCATATCTGCAATTTTATACTCTACAACTGAAAGAAAACAGGAGAACATAGTTAATTATTGAGAAGTACCACATACACTACCTACAAAACCAAGATTCAACAAGTTTATTATCTTACCAAGGGGTACATCTGCAGACATACTGAGTGTTACTGTAGGAGAGAGTGGAGTGGCTTTTGTAAAGAAGTTCAGGTACCTCAGTGCAAAAGTTAGCTGAACTGGTTCATTCATCTCTATGGTAACCTTAGGGAGAAAACAAAAGATTCATTATACTGAACAACATTAAGAAAACTGCAATCCATTCACTTATAGTATACATTAACAAATAATCAGCTAATAAATAAAGGAATAAAATATATTAATATATTAAATTCTGCAAACCCTAATGACTTAATGATTAAAGACAGAATTTACTATGGCTGATAAATCACAAAGATATCCAAATACCTCATGTCTCCTATAGAGGGACACACCACTATCTATAAAATATTCTCCTTCTCCCACCTCCAAACAAAACACCTTGAAAATCATCAAGCCCCTAGAGCTGTATCTATCAGAAAAAGGATCTGAAAAACATATTAATTGACATAAGGAACTCAGCAAAATCCAGACTTTGGAAAATTTGACAACAAATGACTTACTGTCTTCAACAAATGAAATTATAATGGAGAAAGGGAAACTGAAATTGGAGAAACAATGGATTAAAAAAAACCTGAAGAGCACATCCCAGTGAACTATGTATGGACCGTATTAAAAATCTTGATTCAAATAAACTGAAATAACAAGGGAAGCAGGAACACTGAAATATTCCTTAACATAAATTTTCTTAGATGTCATAAAATGTATATACTATAGTAACAGTAAGATATTCATGTGTGAACTTTTAAAATTTCTGGCTGTGCCCCACAGCTTGCAAGATCTTAGTTCCCAGACCAGGGATTGAACACATACCCTCATCAGTGAAAACATGGAGTCCTAACTACCGAACTATTGAGAGAAAAACAAAAATCAAGATTGGCAAGGAAATGAGATGTAATTTAGAATAAAAGAATTAGCTCCTGGAATTTTGTTACTAATACATATTTATTACACATACATATATATTTAAACTCTTTATTTAAAAGTTAATATATAAGGATTACCTAAGAGCTAGATTTTCCTCCCAACCAGACCCTTTTATTGAGCTGCTCAATTATTTGGTAAAAACAGAGTAAATACCCCCAAAAAGCCAAGAGTAGCCTTCCAATCATATTCTTAAAGAGTATGTGTGGGACTGATACACAAACCCATTGTTCTGTAGTTTATAAAGGCTGCACTGAATTTGCATTCCGTTCTCACAAATTTAAGTTAGATGGCATTTATAGATCAGTTGCAGATTTCAAGTGTCTTTTAATTCTCACAAATCAGTTACTTGAAAATGCAAATTGTAAAAAAAAAAAAAGAAAATGAAAATTGTTTTTCTTTAGAGCTTTCTTTAATCTTAGCAATTACTTTGCTATGGACCAAATGTTTGTGTCCACCCCACATCAAATTCACATTAAAACCAAATTTCCAATACGATGGTATTGGAGGGGACTTTGGGAGATGCTTAGGTTAGGAAGGCAGAGCCCTCATGAATGGGATTAGTGCCTTTTAGAGACCCCAGAGAACTTCCTACCCCTTTCACCAGGTAAGGAGGCTGCTGTTTTCTTAAACCAAGAAGCAGGCCCTCGTCAGACACCAAATGTGCCAGCTTCAGAACTGTGAATAATAAACTTTTGTTGTTTATAAGCCACTCAGTCTATGGTATTTTGTTATGGTAGCCTTAGCAGACTAGGACATAACCTAGTTTAATTTTTCAAAGTATTTTATTTACTTAAAAACTACTTACAGCTTCCTCCTCTTTATCAACATTACTTGTCTGTGACAACTTAATATTTCCATTTCCAAGTTCTCCACTTGCAGAAAATTTCACTCCATCTTTTGCACAGGAAATTACAACAGCATCTCCAATATGACTGAGATCTCGGCATATACGTGCAAATTCACCAGAAGGCATCTTTACTACACAGCTATACTCCTGTTCCTATAAAACAAAAAAATGTAAAGGTCATGGAAATGAAAGATTTGGCACCCTCACTTTCTGAAGATTCAACATCTAAACAAGAACTCAGAATTCAAGATTTTCTGATTACTCTGAAATATCACTCATTGTGCAATTTCTTAGCATTCTACTAGAAAAAAAAATGCAGATATAAAAAAGTATAAGAATAATCACACTAAGAAACCAATTAGAACTTAAAACTTTTAAAAGTAAACGCACTATCCAGGGAACAAGAGCCTCCACCTATCACTCTATAGGAGGTCTAAATCTAGAAGACATTAGGATATGGCACGCAAATGGTAACAGCACAAATAGGTTTGCTTTCCAAAACAAGAGCATGTTAGGCATTGTAAACATCTGAACACATCTTCTTTTGATGTTGATAAATCTCCTCTCAATAAAAATCAAGCACTCTAGGAATAATAGTTTTTTAAAAAGATGCAGAGGCTAATACAAATATGTCCTTGGCAGCAATGAATTCAAACCAATGAGCCACTGTAGAATACCATAATTTAATAAAATGACAAATATGTTAGTCTAAATACCCTACTCTGGAATATTCATGATCAGATATATAGAAAAGTTCTGTTAGGAAGTAGGCTTTAAGTTATTATATAAATATATGTTATATAACTATCATGACTGTGTACAGCATGCTCAATCAGAAACTTCTGATACTCACTGGAATTCCAAGTTGTTCAACATCTAAATCCATTAACTTCATTTCATAGTCTGAAACCTTTTCCTGATCTACCAAAAGAAAACAAATTTGAAGAAAAACATGTAAGTTTAAAACTAAGAGGTATATTTTACAATCATCAGACTTGGGAAATACTGACACTGCATTTTAGTTTCCTCTACCATAACTCAGTAGAAGGGTGAACTTACTTGGAGCTTCAAAAACTAGTGCCAAGGTGTCCGCATTATCTTCAGCCCGTAAGGTGATGATGTCTTCATTGCCAGCACATTTTAGTATTTTGGACATGCTAAAACAGAAAAGACAAAGGGTTTTAAATCAACACCATCTTCTCAATATCGTTAGTTTTCTAATGGAATTAAAATCAGGAGTTACCATTTTTAACCATTAGCTGCTGTAGTTTAGACCCTAAGTGGTGTTCGCCCCTTTTGCAACCTCCTGGATTGTAGCCTATCAGGGTCCTCTGTCCATGAGAT